CAATGCAAAGAAATTTGGTTTAGAGGGAGGGTGGACTTCAAGTTCTTTAAGGCCACCCTCACTCTAAGTCAAGAGTTGCAATAAGACCCAGCATATGAAAAACAAGGAACTGGTACTGTACTGTAGTGGGGTCCAACAATAAAAATACAGAGCTGGAAATGAGTCCAATTTCACTTTAATCAAAAATCAGAGAGTCCAACATGTAGGTTGAGCACATTCAATAACAATGCTTTGATCTAGGCCATGAATCAATCTCCCCCTTTTATCCATCCAACTACTTATCCATGGGTCCCCATCTACTCCACATCTATTCCCCACAATCCCCTCCTCCATCCCTTTAAAGCCCCCGTCCACACGCCCCTTCAGTTTCATCATTTCTCCATCATCTATTGACTGCTGCTCTCAGACAGGAAGTTGTTGAACGAGCTCAAACAGTGGGCTCCCCCTCTCTCACCCAGCAGTGAATAATGAAATCAAAGTGACTAATTGTCAGGAGGTTGTGAAGTTAAGATTACCACTAATGTGTGTGTGTGTGTGCAAGTCTCTGTGTGGGCATGCATGGCACAAACACACACCTGAGACTCTGTGTATGACTCATCTAATATCCCTGAAGTTCTCCAATGCCCACAGTGCTTCCTCTGAGCCCAGCAGAGACACATTAAACCTGCAGACTGCTGATACGGAGTGACCATGGTCTCCATCATTACAAGCCTACACCTTCCTCACATCTGAGTCATGCCATGCCTGCATCACACTATGATTATTCTAAGCAGAATATAGGACTTACAAAATATGTAAAACACAAGATTTTCTGTAGGTATTTTTAGACAGCATTTTACTAAGGAAAGTCATTTATGGCTGCCTGTGTTTAAACGACACTTTACATCCAAGAGCTTGCTCTCTTCTGCCAAATTAAAAACATTCCCAGAGTTAAGACCACGAGTCTGGTCTACATGACAGAATGCCAATGTTATTATAACTCATCCTGAGGGACGATTAGATGTATAATGACCATCCAACAGTTGAGACATTTCACAGGAAACCACAATTGTTGTCAGCGTGCTGAGCAATCATTTTGACAACACTAAAATTACTGATATTGCTCTTCCGGGCACCATGCACAAAAATTTGGCTTCACTCTCTGCCCATTCTGACATACTGTAAATAAACTAATTGCAATCCATCTATTGGGACCAAATTAATTGAATAACAGACTCATCAAATCACCAACTGACTATGCCATTCACAAGGCCCTAAAGATTCAATGCACTACCCAGCAAATCATGTTGTAAAAGTAAATCTACGGTTAATACCTGAATAGATCTCAGTTTGTTTTATTGTTTGTTTTCTTTAATCATCTAGATCCAAAACAGTTTCACATCTATCTGACTGCTCGTGTTGTTGCCAGAATAACTAGATAACAAATTCTGACAACTTCCTTTTCCCCCCACAAATCTGGTATCCAGACAGTCCTTCCCCTCACCACTCTCTAGTGTCACTATACAAAATATAATGAAAGCGCTGCTATGCCAGTTCAGCTGAGAGCACTTCAATAGACTGAAAGAGGGAGAGGGATGTTCAGGCCAAAAAAATGACCTAAACATGACTCAACATGAAAAAATGATTCCAATTCCTCTTGTACACGCAAGCCTTCCTGTTTGGGACACTAGTTACAATTTGACTAAATTAATCCGTTATATCCTGACATATTGGAAGAGGTCTAAGGAAGACAACTGGAGGGGAGTTTTATACAGTATATTTGCCTTAGTTTGCAGACCAGTTTCCTGCTTCCTGGTTCCATCTACTGGAGCTGACAATAGTTACTGTAGGTGGAGCCCAGCTCATACTTCTCACGTCCTTACCAACGTTCAAGTTAAGCAACCAGTTTTAACAGATATGAATTTGTATGCAGATTTTTTTTTTTGCACCACTGCCTAGTTAGCTGATTGCTAAAGCTGTCAGAATGTGTTCACTTCCTCTTGATGCTTATGTCCAAAATCAAAATCAGGTATAAATGGAGCTAAGCAGCTTAAAATGCTGCTTCTAAACACAAAGTCCAACTGTTTACGTTTTTGCATATAGTAAACTGATCACGTGTCAGAAATAAATAAACAATGTATATCCCCTTTTGATTCTGTTGAAGAAAAGGTAATTTTTTCTATAGCGATATCCTCCCCTGACAGCATCCATATCCAAACTGTAACGCCATTAGGTGTCAGATGTGGAAAAAGCATACAGGTGTGTATCAGGACCCGTATTCCAGCTGGTTGTGGTGGTAAAGGAAGACTGCTATCAGTTGGCTAATGTTTGCTGTACAGATTGGTGACAGGATCTCAAAAATCCAACAATTTCTTAGAAAAAAAAAACCCCATTATTGTACAATAATTAAACGGCACATAAACAAATCAACTTTACCAAAGGAAGTATATAATGGTGAGGTCGGTAGTTGTTAGAAGTGGTCCAAAGGGGTGGACCCCAACTTGTAACCATGTAGACATCAAACAATCTGATGTGGTGCATGAAAATTACTGTGGTCATAAACCACAACCTGTTTTTAATTTTAGTTTCATTTTACTTTCAATATATTAATAAAGACATTATTATATTCAGTTTCAAACATACTGCGAGCACAGTATGATACAATATAAAGTAAAACACGAGAGGCATAAACTGAGGCTAAGCATTGTGCAAAGTTTCCCAGAGTACTGAGTGATTGTTACTTAACATACTCAGTGCACTTTTACCTCATCATGCACCTAAATATGTACTAGGACTTGGCCCTGTCTGAATGCTTTTTTTTTTGGTTTTTTACATATGCCTCTAGGTCCCAGAATAAACGAGAGTTTACTTTACAAAGCTATCATATCAAACAGAAATGATGGTTAAGGGAGCAAATGTAAAACCCAAGTATGCAATAAAAGGGGCCAGGAGCTAGTCAGGACACCTAATGGATCTATGAGAAACTCAGGCAAGATCCAAAATAGCAATCCAACTGGAGCATCCATCTCCATGGTGTGATAAAGCTAGTGTGTCTGGAGAAAAACACTTGTGGCCAGCACTTTTTCTGTTCTTCGTTTCATTTGACTTTGAGTGACCGTCCTCACGGGCAGTCTGTGGAAAGACAGTCCCCACCCTGTCGATAGCGACTCACTTGTGTGCTACTCTTTGTCTCTCTCTGTCTGTATCTTTCTGTCTCCTCATCCATCTCTGTTGTTTCCAGAGACTTCAAACACTTTTTTAATTGGATGCAGGTCAGCCAATAGCTGAACTTGGCTGAATGAACTGGTGTTATCAGTGTCTAGGCAGATGGGAGCTGCACAGGTGATTTCTCAAAACTAAAAAAAAAGAAAAAAAGAGAGCGGGCAGAAAGAAGCCTGTGTGAGACGTAAAGGAAGGAAGAAGGAGAAGAAGGAAGGAGGAAGAGGGAGGGCGACTGTATTGATAAAGTGGCACAAACGGAAACTCCTTTTTCCTGTCAGTGCCGTGCAATAGATTTTAAACTTATCTGATGGACAGCGAAATACGGAAACATCGCCGTTGCTCCCATCCTCAGTGTGGGAGATAGGTTTAAGATAAAGCCGCTTCTCAATCACTGGGACTGGCAGTCATGTGTCTCTCACAGCGTCGGCGAGATTTGGTTATATCCCCGAGAACGCTGTAGGTTACCGCTCGCTATGAAACTACAGGACCCAGTGATAGAGGAAGACTGCTCACTGCATCCATCACTTTAGCAATAATTTAGTGGGTGGGCAGCATTTGATTAAGATATAAATCCTTCAAATATCTCCCTGTTTTTCTTGAATGTCAGCATTTCTGTCCATCTTGCTGACTCTTTGTTGCCCCTCTGTTTATATGAAGGGGCCATGACACAGTGCCCTAGCTCTGACAAATATCCTGTCGTAACCGTTAAGCCTGTTCGAGCCCCGGTGAGGTAAACAAGGCCCTTGTCAATCAGCAGGTCTCAGATGACTGACAGGTTAGGCCAGCCGGTAGAGGTGGAGGCGGTGTTGGTGCTGGGAAATCACACTGGAGCCTACAGCACTGATGGGAACAATAACAGTGGGGTTAGGGTAGAGGAATGACAGTAAGGAGTCCCTCGCTAGCTCCCTTTTCCCTTTCCTTCCTCTTTTCATCTCCTCCTCAGTCCTCAGCAGAGAGGCAGACGGATCCACAGCAATCCCACTTCCACAGAGAGAAAGGCGAGGAAAGGCAGTCTGACTGCAGCTGGATTTGAGGGTCATTTGAAGAACACAACAAGGCAAAGCACACACAGTTCCATTTTCAGTTCATGGAATCAGAGTCCTCTCTCCCTCTCCCCGTATTACCTCACCAACCCCCCTACCCCCTCCTTTCTCCTACACAACAGCTAAATCAATAGAAATGACAAGGCAGTCGGAAGGTCATTCGTGAGCACAGCGAGCGCTGTGGTGGAATGCTCGCCGATTCGCGGCGGACAGAACAAGTGGAAAAACAAATGCACATCCTGCCAGCGCTCCTGCCTGCCTGTCCAGTTCAGCTGGAAGAAAGAACAGAGCTCTGCTTTCTATACATCTACGTGCAAAATGGAGCTGAGGCTGTATAGGGAGTCTTTAACAGAGAATATATTGTTTCCATAAGATTTCTATCAGTAACCCCACTCGTCTGTTTACACACACTATGTATACTACACACACACACACACACACACACTCTGCCCTCTTTATGTAAACAGTTTGAGGATGAGATACACGTGCTAGGCTGGCAAAATACACAAAATGCTTATCGCCCTCACTAATGAGCTACGAAGCATGGTCGGTCACTGTGCCTTCACCATACACAAGCACAACCACTATAGCTTGAATATTGTTGGAGATAGTCAGAGCTACATAATCCACCAGCAGGAGACACACACTGAAGCAGCACCAGCAGCAGCAGCAGCAAAGGAGCAGAGCAGAAAGGCATCAAAAACACACAACGGCATTAATACAGAAGGAGCGGAGAGTTGCTTGTGTGTTACTCACAGAATATTCGATGGTCCCTTTGGGTCTCTGGAACGACATGCGCCTCCCATCCTTCTTTTCTGGAGTCTTCTTCTGGCCAGTATCTGAAAGCAAACGAGGCAAGGTGCGCATTACATTCATGTTCCTCTCTCCCCAGCTTGTCACAAGCTGCCGTTTCCCAGCCCCGTGGGTAGACAGCTCATTCGTCAACAGTGAGCGAGCCAGCCAGCCAGCAATGTGAGCTGTGAGCGCCCGGACCACTTTCGCTCTCTCTATCTCTCCTGTTCTCGCTCTGCTGCTACCCTCCTGCTTTTCCTCTCTCTCTCTCTCTCTATCGCACTGTCCTCTCCTTCATCTGCCTCCCCTCCCTTTCTCGCTCCCTTCTCCTCCTGGCCCGCCGTGCAGCGCAATAGCAGGGGCTGAAAACTCCCCCCGTTGCCTCTCACAGCAGACGGAGACCAGACTGACCTCCATCAGGGCACCGCCGATCTAATTGCGAGCCCAAGAAGAGGAGAAGGAGGTGGATTCAGATGGGAAGCGGGGCGTGCTAAGCTGGAGACAGAAGGAAAAAAAAGGAAAAGGGGGGCTGAACTGGAGTGTGGATGGAGGGGAAGGAAGGGCTCGATGCTACATGTTGGTTGGGTAATGGAAGGATGTTCCATGAAACAGTGACAGCTAAAGAGGAAGAAGTGTAGTGTTTGGGGGGTGGGGGTTAAAAATGACATTTACAACGTCTCTACTCTTCCTGGAAGGACCTGGCAGGTATGTAAAGGAAGTAGAAGGCAGAGCAAATTTAAGGTGGATGGCAGAGGATAACAGGAGGGCAATTGCAGCTACTGAGGTTTTAGTCAGAGAACATGAAAAATGCATGACATGGGAAAAGATGGGTAGGCTAGGGTGGTGCAGAAGATAAAGGGACAAAGGGTTAATGGGGACAGGAGAAAGTGGAGTTAGACAGTTGGAGAAGGGTCGGGGTGGGGATGGGATAAGACAGAAGGATAAAGGCAAGAAGGGTGGATGGAATACTGAAAATCAGTAGATGAAAGACAAAAGATAGGATGGAGATGAAAGAAGGATGCTCTTGGGAATAAAGATGATGTTGAAAAGAGGCCAACCTTGCTCTTTGACTTGAGCAAGTCGGCCACTGAGCTTCAGGAATACTATACAAGCATTTATTTATTCAGGGGTAGGGTGTGGGACAAAAGAAGAGATGATTGGAGGAGGCTATTGGATTTATATAAAATATTTATGATGCACATATGTTGACCCGATACCCTCAGACACCTCTCTCGTAAGTCTTTGTTTTGTAGATGCCGCACATGGCTAATCAGCGTCGTTATTCGTTCCCTTATCATCAGGCATCTGAGATAGCTCAAAACATGAGTCATACACCAGTGTTGCTATTTCTGGGGCTTAGGAGTGCCTGGCAGTGAGTGAGAGGGGAGGGGGGAAACAGAGCTGCTTCAGGTGTACAGCAACGATGATGTGGCTTACGTTTCTGAAACAATATACAATACAGTCATAATCAGAGATGTCAGACAGGCAGCTAACGTTGCCTAACCAAAGCCATCCCTCATATATACTCACTTCTAATCCTGTCCATCCCACCCTCCGTCTTTCCATACAACCGTCTCCAAACCGCACATCATAACAGGTCCACTATTGAAACTATAAGCTATAAGCAGTTCCTGTCTGCAATCTATACAGGGCATACAGAGAACTATCAATGAATTCTTTGCATAATAAAGAAGAGAATAGTACTGTTCTAAAACAAGCTCTGCAAACTTTTTTTTTTATTATCACTAAGTGCACTGATTGCTGGTAATGTTACATTAATTTTGTGGCACCATCATGAGTATTTTATTGTCGAAGTAGGAAAATAAAATACTGGTTTTCATTTTCTTCTAGAAATTGATTTTCAGACCAATATCTGTGGAATTACCTGCTGTAAATTTACATTTGTTCTTATACACCACTATTATTATTACCCCTCAGCCGTGAAAGACTGATGGGGTATTGTTATCACCCTGCTGTGTGGGCGGACAGTGTGGACATGATTGGGAATGTGATAACTCAAAAAAGAAGCCATCTAGGATTCATAATTCATAATGTGACACTAAAAATCTTGGATTAGTTGTCAGTGACCTTGATCTCAAAGTCAAGGTCAAATTAGGCAACCTAGAACCTTTGAATTAATACCATACTAGGAGGGCGAAGTGTAGCACTGGCGGCTCCAAAGTATTTTCATTATTAGCTTGCTAATGAATGGATCATCGTGCTGCTGTAACTTATGTTTCTTGTGACAAGGTCTCCCAAATCAATTCATTCATGTTGGGTTTGGGTCAGTGGTCCAATGGTCTGTTATGGAACCACTAAAGACCATAAGCAGCTCTTATGAAATTCAATAAATGAATTTAAAGGCCTGAAGCCTATATAGCCTTTCCTAAGGAAACCACCCAAAAAGCATAGAACAATTTAGCATTTTATCAATTCCTACCCTAGTGACCATCATGTCACCCCTCATTATAAGTTCATCAGTTAAAAGGACTTCAAGCTGGGAATCACTGTGGTAGACTATGTCTCTGCTGGCTCACACATCACACTTAAATTACTAGTGGAATTTTCAGACAGGTCCATCCAAGATATCTGCAATGAAACCAATTCATTCAATATAAAAGCCACTCTCTCTGAAACACTATGAGGTTTGATTTAATCAACTCTGTCCTGCAAAATTGCAACACATGACAACCTGTGTAGCACTTTGAAATTCTTGGAAAGCAAGTTGTTTTGATCAAAAACATACTGACCTGCCAAACTGCGAACGTGCGCCAAATCAATTATCTTCCATCTAAATGAAAACCTTTGACGGATGATTGCTTTCAGTAGGAAAACACAATCTGGAGCTGCTGATTGTGGATGATGGGGTTTGTGGTGCTTTTTAGAAGCGACCAGTCATAACTGTGATTTCAACCTCTCCCTGTTATGAATGAATAATCCACTGTGTCGCTGTTTAATTGCTGGTCATGGCAGCATGGCAGACTGAAACCCAATATGCGACTCAGTAAGTAGACAGCAGAGGTGTTGATCTGCTTTGTTAGCTGGTCCAAGCTGAGTGGGCTAACAACACAAGAAAGCAGTGGCGATGCCTCAGACTTCCAAATTTTGGAAAATGCCAGGAGTGGGAGAACATGAACTAGCAATGAGGACCAAAACAGACACGCGGTGAAAGAAAAAAGCAGCTCTACATTAGCAGCTGCAGGGGTGTTCGCACATGGGGAGCCGGTGATTGCTCTAAAATTAAACTTCACCCTGGATCATGGCACAAGAAATGGGCATTTTATTCACACTCCAGACACGCAGCAGAGCACAGCGCCAGGGCAGCTTCAATAACAAAGGCTCTGGTTTCATTCCACTCCGCAGGAAACCGGCAGCATCTGCTGTTTCAGTATAAGCGCTGCTTCAATACAAGGAATCTCCTCAAGTCTACAAATCACAGCATAGTTTATGCCATGTGATCCAACAGAATCTCGAGATGTGTTGGAATGTTGCTCTTCAATAAAAATAAATAAATAAATAAAGTTTCTGCTGTCAATACCAAAAACTGTAAAGCACTGCCCAACATGTACTGGAATAGTGGGATAATGTGCACAAGCAGGAGCACTGGGTGCATGAGGCCATAATGGAACGGTGTGAAGAAACGATTGGCGCAATTATAGATCAAACACGGACACGGTTTGAGAAAACATTCAAGGGGATGTAAACCGAGGTCACCTTTTATCCAATTTGTGGTTCAACCAAGTAAAACAACCATTACCACAATGTCAGCTTTCTTTACTGCTGTCGTTTCCCCATAAGGAACATTTTACTTGGCTCATTAATTGGCTGAATTATAATAACACTGGGTCAGCTGTGCGAGAGAGGCTGCGAGACCGGCTCAGACACTGAAAGGAGCTGCCGTGTGTCGGGAAAAACAAAGGCCGTCTCTCACTAATGGAAACGGTCACAAGAGCTCACGCCTTTCTGAGCAACTCAGCCAAAGAAAAACAAAAAAGCGACCACATCGTGGACGCTGCCTCGTGGCTACACAACACTGCAAGGCGCAGCAAAGCAAGTATCACTAAGAAGAAACATCAACTAATAAAGTCATTACAATTCAGTAATGAAATGGTACACTACAATAAAAGCGTACCAAGTCAGGCTTTTACAGGAAATAAAGAAATAACCATATTATTAATTAATTTAGGCATCTGTAAATTAAAGTAATATGTAAGTAATTTTAACTACTGCATTGTATTTTACAGAAAAGAAGAAATAAAGAAATTGTAAGTAACTCGTATTTTACAGGGAAATGAGACACAAATCTTACTGCAGTATACGCAAAAACAAACAACGTTTCCCTATCTTACGTCGTAAGCACACTGTACTTTTCAGGGTGTGGGTGTAGGAGGTGGCTTAACCTTGCCTAATGTCTAGGTATTTTGCAGGGAAGGAGACACTCTTTTCTGCGCATTGCTTTTTAAAATTGTGTTTAAACAGTGATTGATAAAGAAAAAATAATTTAGCTCAGCTTGGTTCAATCATTGTAAGATCATAGGCCTGCAAATTTTCATGGTATTTATTTTTTTCTTGCAAGTTGGTAAGGGAGAAGAATTTACATGTTTTATTTTTTGGTAAAGCATAAGGATTATTAAGTAATCCATCATGCACATCAACGTGATGAATATTAAATAAAGATGTAAAAAGGTAGGATTAATCCACTCCATAATACAGCCTGCTCCCTGAAAAGTGCAGCATATTTACAATAATACAGGGAAAATATTGTTAGTTTTCTGTAAAATTACCAGTAAATTGCACACTACTTAAAATTACATATGTATTACTTACATTTAAAGAAGTGCTTATACTGTAATTATTTCCTGTAAAAACCTTACTTGTTGTTATTGTAGTGTACCTTCCTTTAAGTATTTGAGATAAATATGACTACAGTGTAATTGGATAAGAGATTAAGAAAATAGATGAACATTTTAACCTATATCTTTTGAAGTTACATTTCTCTTCTTAATTGCAGTCAATTAAAAATAATATTAAAAGACTGCAAAGGTTT